AATGCACTCAAGTCACCTCAGTTGCGTTTGCAAACACTTCAGTTTTATTGGCATAACATCAGGGTTTTTATACTATAGTCTTTGGGCAAAACACGGACCCTCAGACCATCCAATACAAAGTACATGTACATTTTTTTTACCTTAACTCTTAATTATTTTTACCTTAACCCTTAATTTATTTGTATGAGGTTTGCATTTTCACTCGTTCTGCTTTGTCTGTCACCGCCATTAATCTGGTCTAACTCCCAGACCATGGCTGTAACTGAACCAACGCCCAGACCATGGCCCTATAATCTGACCCCACGCCCAAGCTGTGGTTACAACTTTTTCAGAAATGAGAGTAAACCTTATCTGCTTTTTTGTAAAGTTTGCAAAAAACACTTACTTCTACATGAAGCTGGCATAACAGTTTTTGTTAGTGTGTACATATCTCATATATATGTGCCGTGTTAAACTAGCATCTTGTATTGATGTGTTACAAAATGGATTCAGTTTATATTCCATTTAATCCCTTGTGGGGGGGTTTCACTTAGTACAACTGAGCATTGTTAAAACGCCAAGGCCTAACCTTAGTATTGTTGCTGACCATGTCCATGCCCTTTATGACTATAAGTGTACCCATCTCCTGATCGCTACTTCTGGCAAGATAGTACCCACCATGTCACAAAGCTCTAAGCATCTCAAAATGGGGGTTCCTTGATGAACAATGAATTCACTGTACTCCAATTTGCCTCCACAGTTACCAGATCTCAATACAATAGGAGTACCTTTAGGATGTTGGGTGGGACATGAAATTTTGCATCATGGATGTGCAACTGACGACAGCAACTGCATGATGCTATCATGTCATATGGACCAAAATTTCTGAGGAATGTTTCCAACTCCTATTTGAATCTATGCCATGAACAATTAAGGCAATTCTCAAGGCAAAATTGGGTCCACCCAGTATAATAACAGTGGCCAGTGAGTGTATATGTATTTACTGTATATATATATATATATTAATTTATATATATATATATATATATATATATAGAGAGAGAGGAGAAGATAATTTGTAGTTAAATATACAAAGCCTTACTACGTCAATTGTCTGGTGAGAGACTATTCACAACTTGTATATGGACTTATAAAGGACGTTGGGGAGAGTTTATTGAGTGCTGATCTTTGTACAAATAGTTTATCTGCCTAGGGAGGGTGGCAGTTTCATTTTTAACTGCTTGATATGCATAATATTTATACCTTTTTGTGTTGTTGAGTACCCTATATAATGTGATATTTCAGTTTTTCCTTTTTCATGACATTTTGCCAAATTCTGTTTTTCACTTTGTCATTATGGGTTACTGAGTGTTTAAAAACCTTTTTTCAGTCAAGGGCACTTTTAAAATTATGGATAATCTCACGGCACCCTTTAAAATTTTACATAATCTCAGGCACCCCCATTCTAAAAATGTAAAATACTATCCTACATCACATCCAGTACACCCAACGTTACAGGTGATTTATTCTTCCAAAGCAAATACACCTTTGCACACTGGTACCAACTGGTATCCAATGTGTCGTCTTTCTCCCTCACTCTTCTCATGTGATTCCAGTGCATTACACAGAGGGGAAAACAAGGATGGAGTGCATGCACCCCATGTCCTCCTTATCAATGCAATTGGCTGTTAGTATGCTGGCAGCTAGAAGGTCATAGTGCACAATGAAAACCTTTTGCTTTGTGTATTAAAAAGGCAAGACTGATCCACCTGCTGGCTTGTATACAATTTTTAGGCATTTTTCCAAGGCACCCCTGAAGAAGCCTGAAGGCACCCCAGGGTGCCTGGGCTCCCCAGTTGAAAAAAGGCTGGTATAGAATAATGAGAACAGAAAAAAAAGAGTTTACCCGGTTCCCGCTCAGCCTATTGTACAATGATGCTCGGGTAAGACCGCTCTTGTTTTGGAAGGACGTCATGTGATGTTCTTCCATTCTTGCCACGCATCCCCCCGAGGATGTGCAGTGCATTTGACTGGCGGTGAGCTGTGTCCCTCAGACACAGTGCATCACCAATCAGGGTAAAGAGCCAATGATGTTGGCTCTTTACCATGTGAATAAGCTATGTCCAATCACAGCTGATCACATGTAAACAAATGTTGGTTATCAGCATTTCCTTTTCCTCAGCGATGTCACTGTCTGAAGAAAGGAAAGCCAATAACCGGCTTTCCTGTGACAGCAGATGTTTAGTGCCCTGATGATCAGTGCAGACCCATCAATGCAGGATATCAGTGGCCATCAGTGCAGTAGATCAGTACCCATCAGTGCCGCCTATCAGTGCCTCTTCACATGGTGCCCATAAGTGAGAATCAGTGCAGCTTATCAGTGCCCATTAGCCATCAGTGCCAATCAGTAACGCTTCATCAGTACCTATCAGTGCAACTCATTAGTGCAGCCTATCATTACCCATCAGTTTGCAGCCTATCATTGCCATCATCAGTGCAGTTCCTCATCAGCGCACATCAGTGAAGAAGAAAAAAAGAAAAATTACTTATTTTGCAACAGAAACAAACAAAAAAGTTTTTTTTTTTTTTTCCAAAATGTTCGGTCTTTTTTCGTTTGTTTAGCAAACAAATACAATTTCGCTCTCCACCTGCTCTGAGACATACAATATATAGCAGTTAAACTCAAAATCAGTTTACTGCAGTATATCAGGCAGAAATTGTGTGATTTTTTTGCTGGAGGTTACAACATATTATCTCTCACTGGCTGGTTTTTACTGGTTACAGCACACATTACGGCTCACTGATTAGTTGGTAGAGGTTACAGCACATGATTTCTGCTTGCTGATTGGTTGTTAGAGGTGACATTTCTACACTCTTCACCAATGTTAGGGGGGGACTTACACTGATGACCAATCTAAGAGGGGGGATTTACACTGACCACCAGTGTAAGGGCAATTCTGCACCTACCACCAACATAAAAGGGAAATTTACACTGACCAATGTAATGGGCAATTTACACTGACAATCAATGTAATGGGAGATTTTACACCAACAACCAATACATTTCTAATCTGGCCACTAATGTAAGGGGGAATTTACACCGACCACCAATTTTAAAGGGGGGCTTCTACATGAACAATCCATTGTAAGGGAGGATTTGACACTTTCCACAAATGCAAGTTTTTATTTTTTTATTGACTACCAGTATAAAGAGGAGTTTCTAAACTGGCCACCAATGTAAAAGGGAATTTACACTGACCACTAACGTAATAGGAGCATTCACAGTGACCACCAATGTAAGCAGGGATTCACATTGACCACCAATGTAAGGGGGACATTCACATACTGACCACTAGTGGGAATGAAAGTATTCTACTCCATGCCCCAATATAATGAAAAGATATACACTGACCACCATTGAAATTGACATTTAGCCTATGTCCACATTTGAGCATGTTGGGAACGCATGCAAAAATTGCTTTCCTTACACCACAGAAACATGCTGCCTTTTAGCAGATAGATATGCAGTGCTATTAATTGTTAATGACAACCTCATGCATCTGCTAACCTGCACATTTTCACATGCACCAAAATTCACGATGCTGTGGCATGTGTGTAGCTCCAGTGTTATTTTGAAAGAGGGTCGGGGATTTTTTTCTGCATTTATAGCACATAGAGCAGCCCATATGAAATGAATGGTCTGTCCTACATGTGGCTTACAACTTTATTCACCCTGCCAGAACACCTTTGCATCCTAAATTTCCCTGCTAACTTCTGCACCCCAAACCTTCCCCATCCTCTCCACTCCAACCTCTTTCCCCACCTTAACCTTAAATGCCTCCTCTGCTCATCATTTCACCCACCTTCTGTACCTCTCTACGTCCCCTACTTTCTCACCTGTGCACTCCAAACTATAATTCCTTTCTGCCTACCCTCCCCTCCGCACAAACCCCCCCACTTTGCCTTACGTTTGCAGAGAACAGGCTGCTGGTAGGCTCAGTGACCACAGTTGCAGGCAGGACTTTCAAGCATGCCCCTGTTTACCTCTTCAGTGGGCAGTATTGAGGTAATAGTGGCTGGGACCTTCAGGGATGGGGGGGGCATTATATACACACATGAATTCTGTTGCTATTTACATATGAATGGCGTATTGCGCCGCTATTTACATATGAATGTCACTGCTATTTGCAATATGAATGCGGATGTTTATCTATAAATGCTGACACAGTCTGCACACTTGAGTCATCTGTACATGGCAATAGAGCAGAGCTGGGCAGCATACAGTAAGTGACAGTACTTCACACTGAGATATCATGACACAGCCTGGGATGAAGACTTCAAGGGATAAAGGAACGTAAACCGGGACCCACCAACAGTTGGGCAAATATGGGGCAGCTGTTTTGGGCCCCCACAACAATGGCTGGGCCCATAGCAGCATACCCCCTTTTGCCCTCCTTAAAGATGTCCCTGGATCCTGACCACCTCCAGTATTAGAGTGCTTCCCTCTCTGGATGAAGGAGCACAGAGGGCACGTTTGGACAGTAGTATTGTCAGGGAAGGAGAGTTTTAGTTTTTCTGTAATGTATTTTTGGCCTTTTTAATATATATTCATATATATATATATATATATATATTGTGGGAACTCGCTTCAAAGTGGTAGAGCTTTTAAACGCACACAGCTACTCGCTTTCTTTAAGGGCCTTTTTAGCCCACTTTTATTTAAATGAAACAGTTCAATAACATAAGAGGTTCCCACGCAGGGGTATCCCACCATCACACAAAACTCAGCCTCCTGGCTTATACTCCGCTTGATGTCTGCCTCCTGCAGACTTCTTCAAGACACAGCTCTTGCACACCGCTGGCCACTAGCACACAGCTAGTCTCTAGCAGCCCCTTTGCTGCTTTTGGCTTCCACCTGAAGCCCTAGGTGAAGCCCACCTGACTCCTAGCTGCGGGGTGGAGCCCTGCTGACTCCTAGCTGCCGGGGTGGAGCCCAGAACCCTGGTCCTGACTCTCTCTAAAGGCCTGCACACACCTGTGCAATCAGTCTCCTGGCCTATCCCAAAACCTGGTCCCAGGATTGGAGATTTCATCCCTCCCAGATCTCTTTGAAAATCTCCAGGCTCCAGATCCCAAAACAGACCTTACAAACACAGGAGGAAAGTGAAAAGCCACTTTCCTCCATATCAAACACTTACCCTGGAGCCCCTCAACCTGCCTTGTTGAGAATCCAGGGTTACAGATCGCCACACTGTCACATATCCCCCCCCTTTGTTTTGATCCCGTAGGGGGCAGAACACACAACTTATATCTTCTGGCACCTCTGTGCCAGCTCTCACTTACAGGGGTCCAATCTGGTCTGACCTTGCCTTTCCTAAAGGGGAACTCTACCCAATGACTCCTTTGGTGTCTCTCCCCAAGCCTCATTGTCACTCTGCTATGGGCTCTACTCAGACCTTCCCTATTCTTTTTCCGGTGCATTTCCATAAACACTTTCTCTCCTGAGATCTTAACAGGGTCCCCCTGGCCTTTCTATCGACCTTTCTGCCCCTTTGCTTCAGGTGATCAGGTTTCCTAATACCTTTCTCAGTATTCCTGTCCCAAGGCTGTAGGGGAACTATTTCTACTGTATTTGTACCAGGACCACCCCCCTGATTTCTTGTACCTTTAGCTATCAAACCTGCATGACTCATTACCACAGTATTCAGTTTACCATGAACAGTTATATTCCAGTCAATATTACACCTTTCAATACATTTTCCAGCATTAGTTAGGACAGTGTCTGTAGATGGCACACACACCATAGGGCAGCCATCACCCACGTGAACCTCACAAAATGCCACTTCACCTGGCGTCATGCAATCTGCAGGCGGCTGTCCAACCATTTTAACTTTTTCTACACCACTTGTATCTGTATACAAATCCTGTACAGATGAGCTCTCTTCTGATCCATTTTGCCAGTTTTCAGATACCATTTGTCCCTGTATGTCAGATGTCTCATCAGACCTGCTACCTAAACCTCTTTTTGGCCCAATGACCCTGATTTCTTTATGCACATCCGTTTGAGCCCTGGTCAGGATTTCTGCTGTTCTCTGGTCCATGCTCGGGCCCTTCCATCTCATGTGGTTTGTCCACTGGTGCAGTCAACACACCCCAACCCTTCATGACAACTGACCAGCACCATCCTGGACCATAGCAGCAGAAATGCTTCCCACCTGGCTGTTAGGAGGTAAAACCTTTTTTGACTCTTTTTCCATTTCTCCAAAACATTTTCTCATATATCACATTTACAGGTAATCCAGTGGCATACCCTGATACAACTTTTAACACCATCAACAAATTCCGAAACAAACAACTTTCTTGTTCCCATTTGATCTGTACAGCCAGCCATTTGGTGCTCCACCTAGTGGTACTCCCGCAGTACCAGACCATCTGACTGTGGAGGAGACACCCCAGTATACATTGGTTGTACATTCCAAAGTTCAAGCATCTCCTTTAATACTTTGGTTACAACCCAACCACTTGACTCTAAACCTAAGAGCTTCCTGACCATATTTAGGGCACTGGGAACGCTGAGAGACTCACCTGCTGAGACTTGAGAAGTTGAAATTTTTAAAGGGACCTTCTCCAAGCTGGAGACAACCACAGCCTGGTGCTCCACCAGAGCGCTGCCATGTGCTGGGCTCACTCTCAACATCTCAGACTCAGTATCCACAAGCTGCCCCTGATCATTCCGCCCAGTGACAACATCATTTTGACACTCCATGCCCAACATCACTTGATGTTTATTATTTTATTATTATTTTTTTTTTGTGGGTCACAGACAAATTCTCTGCTGTATACCACGCCCTTATCCATAGGCTGTTCTATAGACCTCCTGCTGGCACAGCAGAAACAGTGTCCACCTTATTTTTTTGCATAAAAGCCTCATCTAAACAACGAGATTAGCCGTTTACCCTCAACTATCCCAGTCCATTGTATATGTGCTCAATTCACCAGTGTGCTCCTCAGCACCGATCCATCCGCCCAAGGAGACACACAAGAATAGACGGGCTTAGTTGCAGATCCATTGCACAAATCACTCTGGATCACGTCTGACTTGGGTAACACCTGTTTTTCCACTGCAGGTTGCAATACCTCACATCCACCACTTTGCTCTGGGGATACTATTCCTGAATTACACACACACTTGCATTTTTGCCAGGCTGCATTAACCCGCTGTTCACCTGCAAACACTTTCAGTATTGTTAGACTGCACCAAACACACTCCTATTACAAGGTGCAGTTCCCACTCTGCTCCACCAGAGTGACATCGCAGTTGTCCAGGGCAACCTCCGGCTCCAATACACGGAGACCCCTGGAGATGTCTAAGGACACCTGTGCTGTTCTTACCACCAGTTGCTAATGGGAAACGACCCATCTTTAATTATAGCTTTTGCACTGCAAGAGCTCAGGGTTTTCCCAACAGCAGAACATTTCACATCAACATCAGCATTTTTAGCTCTTGTGGGCTGTACTATCCCACTACCAACCTGTGACTGGCACACATTAGTGACATCACTTTCTTTTTGAGAACCATGCACAGGTTTAACTTTAACCCCTAACTCCCCACTGTACAAGGCACTGCACAGGGAAAAGTCACTCTCAAAAGCACATTCAGTGGCCCAACTAACTGGGGTCACTCCTACATCAGAATGGGGACATCTCTCATAACCAGTCCTTCTCAACATGACAGTCCCAGCCATGGTTTTATCACACACAGTCTTACCCACCACAGTAGTAGGTGTCACCAATCTTCATTTGAGTGCGTTGTCTCATAAACGCATCCTCAACTGCACTTTCCTTGGCAACTTTTCCTTTGCCCCAAGGTGAAGTAACAGATGCCATCCCATAGGGCTCCATGGACTCTCTGGCACCCCCTGCAGGCCCAACAGAACTTCCTCCCTGTTGCCAGAGGTGGCTGCTGAACATTTTAAAAACAAGACACTGGGCTTGAAGTTGTAGATATTTGCCCAATATCAGCGGTAGATTCCAGAGTCTGGGACAGGAAAAAGATCCCATGCCCCCACTGACCACATTCCAGGCATGGTACATTTCCACTCTTATCTTTGTTGGGACACTGAGCCACATCTTCAATGCAGCTCCTCCTTCCAGGCACTACTTTTCCTCCCGTCACCATGGAGAGATTGCACTCTCCAAGCAGAACTTTGCTGGCTCTTTCCAACACGCTGTATTGGCTCCTCTTGATGCCACTTGCCATGATCCTTATATGACATAGCCCCCCGTACACAGACAGCCCGACTGGCCTCCTCTGTGTTTTGCTATGGCCTTCACTCTTGGTCCTGGCCTCTGGTCATCCCCTCTCCTTGCACATAGCATAGGCTTCTCTCTGCTGGACCAACTCTCAAGCCGTGACACATTCATATTTTTCACAACAGCTACTGGTTTAACTGCAGCAGCGTTGCCAGGGGCAACAACACCCACCCCTCTCCCAGGGTACGGACATCCTGCAGCTCTCTCCTTGCACTGAAGGTTGTGCTTGCTTTTCCTCTGTAGGTTTGGTTCAATGCTGCCAGGTGCCGGCTTGCACCAGTCCACAGCAGACTCACCCACATCTAAATTTCCTGGCTTGGCTGGGGCATGCGGTATTATAACCCCCTAGCCACAGGGCTCTAATCTCTCGTCTTCAGCAAACATTGCCTCCTTTTTCTGGTTTGACCCGCCCCATCTTTGCAGTCATGCACACAGCAGTGTGGTTACACAGTTTCAGCAACACCATGGAACACTGTCTCTTTAAGGCAAAGTCCTTTCTCACTAGCAGGTTCTCCTCACCTGCACACACAGATAGTGCAGACTTGCACAGAAACACAGTTCATATAACTGATGAACTTACTTCATCGCAGGGATCTTTCCAATTCTGCCCCGCATGCATCCGCCACCATATGTGGGAACATCGCTTCAAAGTGGTAGAGCTTTTCAAAACGCACACAGCTACTCGCTTTCTTTAAGGGCCTTTTTAGCCCACTTTTATTTAAAATGAAACAGTTCAATAACATAAGAGGTTCCCACGCAGGGTATCCACCATCACACAACAAAACTCAGCCTCCTGGCTTATACTCCGCTTGTTGTCTGCCTATTCCTGCAGACTTCTTCAAGACACAGCTCGTTGCACACCGCTGGCCACTAGCACACAGCTAGTCTCTAGCAGCCCCTTGCTGCTTTTGGCTTCCACCTCCCTAGGTGAAAGCCCACCTGACTCCTAGCTTGCCGGGGTGGAGCCCTGCTGACTCTAGCTGCCGGGGTGGAGCCCAGAAACCCTGGTCCTGACTCTCTCTAAAGGCCTGCACACACCTGTGCAATCAGTCTCCTGGCCTATCCCAAAACCTGGTCCCAGAATTGGAGATTTCATCCCCTCCCAGATCTCTACTTTGAAATCTCCAGGCTCCAGAAATCCCAAAACAGACCTTACAAACACAGGAGGAAAGTGAAAAGGCCACTTTCCTCCATATCACAACACTTACCCTGGAGAAAACCCCTCAACCTGCCTTGTTGAGAATCCAGTGCTTACAGATCGCATGCTCGACACTGTCAACACTATATATATATATAATATAATATGTTAACACACAGTGCTCAGCATAATTGGAGTACACACCCCCTGTTTCAAAAAATAAATACTTTAATCAATATTCTTCAATTAACACAAGAATAATTTCCAAAATGTTGACAAAACTGATTTTTATCACAAAGAACATTGGTATAGCTCAATTACATGAAAGTAAGGTTAATAATGTAAACGTAGATTACAAAAATATTCAGTTTTAACTCAACTTAGGTTGAATGGCAAAATTGAATACTACCAACACCCAACAACAAAAACTGCTACACTCAGTATTTTTTTTATGACCGTTACCAGGATTATTGTATGGACATAGCACCCAAGGTCCCTTCTACGCATGGAATGAATAAAATTGGCAACATATTGCACCATCTATCTTTTTCCCATACTCAAGAGAAACCGCTTTAGAGCCGGGATGCTGAATTGAGATTGATGTTCAACTTCTTTTCAGAAACCCCATAGTGTTCAATGGTTCAGATCAGGGGGACATAATTGGCCACTGAATCACTTTTACCCTTTTTTTCTGCAAAGAAAAATTTT